TTGCTTGCTTTGCTTTGCTTTGCTTTGCTTTGCTTTGCTTCGCTTCGCTTCGCTTCGCTTCGCTTCGCTTCGCTTCGCTTCGCTTCGCTTCGCTTCGCTTTGCTTTGCTTTGCTTTGCTTTGCTTTGCTTTGCTTGCTTACTTGTTTGCTTGTTTGTTTATTAGTGTGTTTGTTTGTTTGTTTGTTTGTTTGTTTGTTTGTTTGTTTGTTTGTTTGTTTGCTTGCTTGCTTGCTTGCTTGCTTGCTTGCTTGCTTGCTTGCTTGTTTGCTTGTGTGTGTGTGTGTCTGTTTACATGTGTTTGTGTGCACCCTCTTTTTTGTGAAGCACCCGATTCCGAGTCGCACGAGTGGCTGAACTTCGCCCGACTAGTCCAGGCGTGTGAATCAGAGTCCTTGGAGTAAGCTTGATTACAAGGTTCAGGGATCAAGGACCTGCAGATTCAGACTAATTACGGCAGTTTAGGTAGATTTGGCACTACCCAGGGCGAGTTGCCACTTTGCTGGTTCAGGGTCGTCTTCAGGCAGGTTGGCTGATCGACTCCCATAGGTTACCAGGAATGCTCACTTGGAATTTTACGGGCTTAATCACGGGTTGTCACGTTGCAGCAAGGCGCCCGAGGCCCCTCCCAATTGCAAGACAAGTAGGACATGGGGGAACTGCAGAAGGGCGAGTCACGAGGCTTTCGGATTCATGTAGCTCTTGGTCCAGGGACCTTACAAGGCTTTCAACTTTCGGCGTCCCATCATTCGGCACGGTACCTTGATGTTTCTTCAATTGTTCAAGTTTGGGGCCTCCCGACTTTAAGAGCTACTGCTGCCGAAGGCTGAGCCGTCGTGCCCCCATCGAGCCCCGCACCTCTGTCCACTAAACTCCAGAACTTAGCTGATCTATCCTGTCATTCACAAGTCCTTTACATAGAGTCCGAACTTGATGAGCGACAGTGTCGTTCGCAATAGCTGCCAAGATCCAAGTCCCGGCTGTCGTCAGACAAGTCCCAATACAATATGGGCCAAAAGCTCGGGAGGAAGATCAGCGGAGCTGGACCCGAAACCCTAAACCCTAGACCTGAAAAGCTTGGCCTGCCCCAGCTCCAGTGTCGAAGCCCAAAGCCTTTGCTTCGAGATATTAGACTGTAATATACCATAACAAACTATAAACTGACGCAACATAATGTTTCAATGAAGGCCACAATATACCCAAAAAATACAGTTACATACCTTAAACTATATTTATTCTACGATCATGTACTACACTAGAGCTCTGATGCTCTGGCTACGAGCGTGGGCCAGGAAGCTCATGGCGGGAAGCCTCTTCGGCCGAGCCTGAAGCTGAGGGGGCTTCGGTTTTAGGGGTTCAGGGTTTAGGGCTTGGGGCCTTGGGGGGTTTAGGGTTTGGGGTTTAGGGTTTGGGGCTTAGGTTTTAGGGGTTCAGGGTTTACTGTAGGGCTTGGGGCCTTGGGAAGTTTAGGGTTTGGGGGGTTTAGGGTTTGGGGTTTAGGATTTAGGCGTTTAGGGTTTAGGGCCCCAACTTGCCTTAAGACGGGGTGAGGGTTGCATGGGCGCTGGCCGGCACCTCACCTCAGTCCGTGCTGAAAAGGGCTTGGGGCCTTGGGAAGTTTTGGGTTTGGGGGGTTTAGGGTTTGGGGTTTAGGGTTTGGGGCTTAGGATTTAGGCGTTTAGGGTTTGGGGCCTTGGGTTTAGGGTTTTTGGGGCTTAGGGTTTTTGGGGTTTTTGGGGCTTGGGATTTAGGGTTTCGGGGTTTTAGGGTTTNNCTTTGGGGGTTTAGGGTTTGGGGCAGTGGGGCTGAGAGTTCAGAGCATCGGATTTTGCAGCGGTCGCCGGGCACGGAGAATTTCAGGCTTGGTGGTCGACTGTGGAAAGCTCCACTCCTGGTCGAAACAACTTTTTTTTTTGCGGTAGTCCTAGACTTCCAAAAAAAGAGGAGCGTCGAATATAGGCCCCCGAAAGAAAAAAGCTCCCCTCTCCCCCTTCCGAGAATGGAAGCGAGAAAGTGCCATCTGTCAGAAACCCCCACTGTGGGTTCGGCCAAGGCACCCCCATGAAGGCCACCTGGGCGCAGAAAAAGGCCTTCTGGTTTTCGAGCTTGGCATTTCCCTCGTTTTTTTGAGAGGGAGCCTAGGGGTCTGGGGTTCTTAGGCTTCAGAATCGGGGGCTTAGGGACGTCCCTAAGTGGCAGGGATTTTTTAGCCGGGATTCGGATGACGGCTTGGAGGACGGTGGGAAGTTACTGTGGATCAGGCCTGCTACTTCAAGTCACGACGGTGGCCAAAACGAGGCAGCAACATCTTCGTATCCTTTGTGTAGAGGCAGCTGCTTATGTCACCTCTCAGAATCCGCACAAGGTGCGATAGAGTCCGATAGAGCTTATGATACAGTGAGACAGTGGCAGTTGCACTTCGTGCAGACATTGGGTTTGGAATGTTCTCCTTTTCAAAGCGTTTCTGCATTTATCTGGCAGCATCTCACATACCCTGAACCCGAAGAGTGCGTTTGCTAGACGCAGGCTCCCTCACAGAAACCAAGCACTCCAACCCGGCAGACCTGCAGGGCCTACAGGTGCCGGAGAGTTTCAAGATGCCCAGCACCTGCAGCTTCTTGGCTGCCCTTATATAGGGGCCTTATTAATTAGAA